GGGCAGCCTGCGGGGCCCGGTGCTCAGGGTGCAGGGCCGCTGTCCTGGGAGGCGTGGATGCTGGGGGTGGGGGGGGCGTGCTCAGCAGGCAGCGTGTCCGTGGTTCTGGCGTGGGCTCCGCGTGTGGCATGCTCCCCTGCAGGCGGCACGTGGGTGTGCTGGTCGGTCGTTCGTGCGTGCGTGGCGCTCCCGGCCTGGCGGCCTGTGGTGTTTGGTGGGGCCTGTGCGGTGCTGAGCCTGCTGCTGTGCGCAGGTGGGGTCAGGGGCGGGCAGCGAGGGGGGCGTAGCAGGGCCCGACGGAGGCCGGAGCTCAGAGCTCAAGTGCGCGCTCTCTCCCGTCTGTGGGGCGGAGCTGAGCCTCGCGCTGCGAAGCTTTTAGGCAGATTTGGTGGCCCGCCCTGGGCTGCTGGGGGCTCCAGGCCCCCTCACAGTCAGATTGCCAGCAAGCCTGGGGCTGAGCCAGGATTCCCCCCACCCCTCGGGGCCTCCCCCTGGCTCCTTGCCAGGGTGGGGAGGACCTGCTGGGGGCTGGGGGCTTGTCGGGTTGCCTGCCGGGCCTCAGGCCTGAGCCCGGCCTGAGCCGCGATGGAGAGGGGCTTCGGACCTCGAGCTGCGGCTCATCGGCGTTTCCCGAGTGGCCGGGGCTTTGGGGGCCTAAGGGCACCGGGACGGCGCAGGACACCTCCCAGGGCAGGGCAATCTCCTGGATGTGCTTGGCGGCAGGGGCTGCAGGGCCCTGGGGGAGGGGGAGGGGGTCTGGGGCTGAAACACGAGCTGGGGAGCCAGGGGGGCGGGTGGGCTGCGGCGCCGGTGGTGGCCCGTGTGGCCGGCTGCGCCCTCACAGAGCCCAGCGCACTCCAGGCGCTTCGGGCGGCTGGCTGCCAGGGCTGGGCCGGCGTCGGGACGTGGGCCCGAGCATCTCGCTGGGCCCCGCCGGGCGCCGACGTCCCTTCCGTCACAGACGGAAAATTCCGTTCGGTCAGAGCCCAGATGCTGATCAGACAGTTCCCATTCATTTTTCTGAATGGGCCCAGGGAGAAGCCGGGGACGCCAGCCTGTGGAAAGGGGGGGCGGCCCAGGGGAGGGCCGGCGGAAGGCTGGTCTCTGGGGATCTGTCCTCAGGAAACTGGGGCAGAGGTCAAGCATGGCACTGGGCCCTGCGGGCCGGAGGAAGCAGCTACCGGCCTGATGCCGCTTCCCAGTGCCAACTACCCCAAGCCCGGGTTCCCCCGTGCGACCCGGGAGGGCACTGTCCCCTCCCTGCAGGGGCCACGTGAGGCTGTCCTGGTGTGGAGCCCACAGCTTGCCTTCCGGGGCTGCCCAGGGGCCCCGGCGCCACCCGTGCCACCCGTGGGGCTGCTAATTAACATTCCAGGGAGGGAGCTGAGCTGCCAGAGAGAAAGCAGCCCAGCCTCTCGGAGCTTGGGGTGGGGGTCCCGGGGGCGCCGTGTTTCTTAGGCCCACTCTGTGCCAGGCTGAGGAGCCAGGGGGCACCACCCCTGCTGATGGATGAGCTTGTTGAGGCCTTTCCGGCGCCCACGGGGGCAGTGTGGGCAGACAGAGCCCCCGCCTGGATGCAGGAGGTGGGGTCCTCTCCTCACAGTCCGAGGGCCTTCGCGGGGCCCGATGCCGGGCGCCTGCTCCCCCGTGCGGGGCTTCGGGGGCGAGGTGGGCGCCGAGGCCTCCACCTGCCGTCGCTCCGGGGCGTGAGGAACACGTGCTGTTGGGTGCCCTGCTCTGAGCCCCGGGGCACAGTCACTCCCAAGGGCCTGTGTCCCTTGGGCCCCTGTGCCACCCTGACTCGGCTCCCTGAGGCACGGCCACACGGGAGGGTCCTTCTCCCCCAGGATGGCAGCCGAGCCTGTGCGTGAAGCGCCCCCGGCTGGCCCTTCCACCTCTGGCGAGTGTCTGGCGCCCAGGTGCTCGGCACCCCTCCGCCCACCACCCTCAGCCACTGGAAGCTTAGAGCCTCTGCTGGGGAGCTCCTGGGGTAACCCCTTTGTGTGCGTGCGTGAACGTGGGTGTGTGTGGGTGTGAGTCTGTGTAACGAGCATGCGTGGGTGTGAACATTGTGTGATTGCATGGCTGTACGTGTGCACGTGTGAATGTGTGGGCATCGGCGTAGGAACGCGTGGGTGTGCACGTGCGCGTGCTCACCCCGTCTGTGAGCGGCCCTGGGCTGTCTCCCCTCCATAGGCAGGGCACCCGCCCGCCACCTGCGCCCCCCACACCCCGCCGCCCGGGCTGCCATCAGCAGAGGCCGCGAGCAGCCGCCCGGGGGCCCCGACGCCTCCGGCCCAGGTGCCGGTCCAGGCCGCTACGCAGCCGCCCACCCGCTCTCAGGACCTGTTCCTGGAGAGCAACGTTCCTGTCTCCGTTTTATATGTGGGGACACTGAGGCACAGGGTTTAAAGTCCCCGGCTCGAGGTCACTTCTAGAGCCAGGCAGAGTAGCAGTTGAACGGTGGCGCCCCGGTTCCCCAGGAGCTGGGTGCCCCTCAGGGACCTGAGTTTTGGGGATGGGGGCGGGAGCCTGGCGGGAGGCCCTCCCCTGGGTCTCGGTGCAGCCGCAGGTTCAGGGCAGCTCGGCGTCCTGGTGGGGAGTCTCTCCCCTTGACCAATCTCCTAGGCAGCGGGCAAGGGCAGGGGCTGTGCCACAGTGCCGCAAGCCGAGAGGGACCCAAACATGGCCTCGTGGCTGCGGGGCCCCTCTCCCACGTGACAGCCCGGGGCGGGGCAGTGCTGCCCGCCTCACGCAGCCCGCAGGGCCTGCCTGGAGCCTCACAGAGCCTCACGGGCGGAGCTGGGCTCAGACCAGTGGCCTCCCACGCCTGGCTGTAAAGAGCTGCTCCCAGGCTCCTGGTTTTGTGTTTTAATTATAAAGGTAGTACATGTTCGTGGCTTTAAAAAAAAATAGAAAAACAAAACAAAAAAACCCCAACAACAAAACACTAACGCAATCCAAGCTGTAGAAGAGGATCCAGGAAAGCCGCCTGCCCGCCCACCTCCGGCCAGCCCGGCCCCACCCCAGGCGCCAGGAGCTCGCTGGGCCAGCGATGTTTATCTGGCCTCGGCTTTCTCATCTGGTCAATGGGGGTGGGTGGTCCTGGCGCCGCCGAGGCGCGCAGCCCAGGTGGGCGAGCCCCCCGTCCCGGCCGCCCCTCAGCCCTGTCGCCGCCCACACCAGGCTGTGTCGGAGCCCCCTCCTCGCCCAGGAGGGCCCGCAGCACCGGGGAGCCCAGGCAGGCAGGGCTTTGAAGGGGGCTCCGTGGGGAGCCGGCTTCTAGGAAGGGGTGTGGGTGGTCTGAGGGGCTCGAGGAGGGAGGAGCCGCAGAGGCAGGCCCTGGTGACTGAGGGGGCTGGAGGGGGGCGTCGGTGACCGACAGGCAGGCATCCCTTGGAGCCAAGGCCCCGCGCGGTGGCCTGTGCTGCCCTTTGCCTGTGCACATGAAGGCAGGCCCAGGGCACCCACAAGGTGGCGCTCTTCGAGCACCCTGCTGTTTACTGACTCCACGCGTTGGGCGGTGTGGGGTCAGTAGGGCTGGTGCTGGTGCTGCATGCCATGGGGGGGTGAGCGTGCCCCCCACCGTGACTGGGTCCCCGCCCGTGTCCCCACGTGACCTCAGGCAGGGCCTTGGAGGCCCCCCGGGAACACGAGAGCCCGGGACCTCGAGGGAGCCTTGGGCTGAGGGGGCCCAGGTGCCAGCCATGTGGGGCCTGCGCCCCCACCCGCTGGTCAGCAGGGGCGGTGGGTCATCTCTCCTGCGAGCCGGGCAGGGGGGCGGCCCTCCAGCCCCCACGCCCACAGCGCCCCGATTGCTCGGTGGGCAGGACGGGCGGCCGTGGGAAGGGCTGGGGCGGCCTCACAGTGGCGCGCTGGTCTCCGCGGGAGAGTGCCTTCCTCCCACGCCGCCTGGCAACCGTCTCCAGGGAGACAGCCGCTGGGCGCGGGGCTGAGGCGCAGTCCCAGCGGCTCTGGCTCAGCCTCCCCTCCCAGGGAACCCTGCGGGCGCTGGGCCCGGGTGTTCCACCCCCAGCAGCGCCCCGGCTCCGGCCCAGGGAGGGCCGCGGGGCTGAGCGCTCACACGTGGGGAGGGAGGGCGTCCCGGGTGCTCCTGTGGTCTGGGCCTCGGAGCCGGCAAGGGCAGCTGAGGGGTGCCCAGGGGCCCCGCCACAAGTGCGATGGGCCCCCACGTGTCAGTGCTTCCTCGCCCTGCCCCATGGGGTGCACGCGGCCCTTTACCCCCCGCCCCCGCCCTGACAAAGGCCTGTGCTGGAGGCCCTGGGGGGTCCGTGACAGGGGCACATGCGCCCTCCCTCCGCACCTCCCCGGGAGCCAGTTTCTCAGTGAAATGGAGTGAAGCAAACCACCGAGTAGGGCGATGGAGGGCCCGAGGGGGCGGGGCTGGCACCCGTTCCAGCCAACGGGGGCTCTGCGCCGCGTCCATTCCATCCCCCTCCCCCCTGGGTGCCCATGGGGGACCCTAGCCTCGGGGACAGGAGTGGGGGCCTCCCCGAACGTGGTCCTTCAGGGCCTGGAAAGGCGGCCAGGCCCAGAGCAGCCTCAGCAGGACGGTGGAGACGGCGACTCCGTGCTCACAGCCCCTCCCCGGGCCTTCACGGAGACGGTGCTGGGAGGCCCGTCCTCTGGCCACCCCCGCCAAGCGTGTCCTCACAGGGGGACCCCTGTTCACACCTATCCTTCCTGGGACCCGGGAGGCGGCAGGCGCCCGTGGGGAGGGGCCCAGGGGCTGGGGGGGGTGGGTGTTGCAAGAGGCTGAGCACGGCCTCGCCCGCCTGCCCCTCCGAGCGGAGCTTGGGTTGGGTCCTGGCGCCTGGTACAGGGTGGAGGACCGGAGTCTGGGCGACCGCAGGCGCTGGGAAGCCGCGTCCCCAGACGAGGGGAGGGCCCGCTGGGAGCGGGTGCCGCGTGCGCTGGCCGGGAGTTCAGGTGCGGCGTGCCGTCCGGCCCGCACCTCCAGCGCCGCCGCCCGCCCGCAGGCGCTGCTGCTGCTGGGCGCCGCCGCGCTGGCCTGCCTGGCCCTGGACCTCCTCTTCCTGCTCTTCTACTCCTTCTGGCTGTGCTGCCGCCGGCGCAAGAACGAGGAGCACCGGGACGCCGACTGCTGCTGCACCGCCTGGTGCGTCATCATCGCCACGCTGGTGTGCAGGTGAGGGGCGGGGCCGGGGCGGGGCGGGGCCCGGCAGCGGCCGTCGGGGTCCCCTGCGCCGGGGCGGCCAGGGGCCGCCAGCGCCCTCACCCGGCCTCGCCCTGTCCCAGCGCCGGCATCGCCGTGGGCTTCTATGGCAACGGGGAGACTAGCGACGGCGTCCATCGGGCCACCTACTCGCTCCGCCACGCCAACCGCACCGTGGCAGGGGTCCAGGACCGCGTGAGTGGCTGCCGAGATGGGCAGGGGTGCTCTTCCTGCTGCAAAGCCCGTGTCTGGGGGGCGGCCGGGGGGCAGGCGTGTGCCGGTGGCCCCGGCGCCAGCTCACCCGCCTGCCCGGCGCAGGTGTGGGACACGGCCGCCGCCCTGAACCGCTCCGCGGAGCCCAGCCTGCAGAGCCTGGAGCGGCAGCTGGCCGCGCGGCCCGAGCCCCTGCGGGCGGTGCAGCGGCTGCAGGGCCTGCTGGACACGCTGCTGGGCTCCACAGCTGCCATCCCCTTCTGGAGGAACCCAGCGGTGTCACTGGAGACGCTGGCGGAGCAGGTCGACCTCTATGACTGGTACAGGTATGAGGCACACGCTTTACTGTCCGCCCAGGCTGGCCGCTCTGGCCCGGGGTTAGGCTTCACCTGCCGAGGGCCAGTTGGCAGCCAGCACCCAGTGCCTGAGGTTCTGTGGGTTGGAGGGGCCCCACGTGGCGGGAGACCCCATGGACCTGTCTACTAGAAGAACCGTTCCAGTCCGCCCAGCCCAGAACTGCCCGTGGGTGCCCCTCTGGGTCCCCAGCCGTTTGCCTGGACTCTGCCCGCCCAGGTCTAGATGCCTGACCTGTCCCCCTCCTCGCCCTTCCCCTGCCACCGGGGCCCACACCTCCTCTGCCTGCAGGTGGCTGGGCTACTTGGGCCTGCTCCTGCTCGACGTCGCCATCTGCCTGCTCGTGCTGGTCGGCCTCATCCGCAGCTCCAAGGGCATCCTGGTCGGGTGAGTGTGTGAGGCACCCAAAGCTCCGTCCTTACCCCTCCCCATTGGTGGGTCAAGAACAGGGTCTGCCCAGGGGAAGAGCCTGGACCCCGTGTGGGCGGAGCCACAGCTGTGCCCTGGGACCTGGGACCCGGGACCCAGCCCTCTGGCCTACAGCCCTGGGGGCGGCACGACTCCCCCCACCTCCCCTGCACGCCTCGCCGGGGGTGCTGACTGGCTCTCGTTGCCCCAAGGGTCTGTCTGCTGGGGGTCCTGGCCCTGGTCATCAGCTGGGGCGCGCTGGGCGTGGAGCTGGCCGCATCTGTGGTGAGTAGCAGCAGGGGAGGGTGGCCGTCTGCTGGGCCGAGGCACGGGGGTGGGGGAAGCCTCGCTCCTTGGCCCTCCCGGGGAACGCCGGGGCGGGAGGGGCGGGAGGGGCGGGCCCTGCCCTTGGGCACACAGCAGGTCCCTGCGCACCCCACCCCCCGCAGCTGCATACGGTGCCTTCCCGGTTGAGAGCAGACCCGGGCTCAGGCGCCACCGCTGAGAGCGGAGGGTTGGCAGGGCCTAGCGCGGACGGCCCACGGTCCGTGCCCACATCCATTCCAGGGCTCCAGCGACTTCTGTGTGGACCCTGACACCTATGTGACCAGGATGGTGGAGGAGCACTCGGTGCTGAGTGGGGGTGAGTGTGCGGTCGGGCGGCGTGAGGCCGGGGCCCCCGCGCACCCGCTGAAACGGGCGTCAGTGCAGCACCCAGCGTCTGAAGGGGGGGCTCACCCAAAGAGACCCCTCCTGGGTCTGGGGGAGGCAGGGCCCAGCCAGACTGGGAAGGTAGTGAGTGAACGGTCGCACCTTCCGCAGCTGGGAGGCTGCTGGCTGGCGGCCGGGTGGGGCAAGCGACAATGGGGGGCCAGGAGGGCAGCCGGTGACGGGGGAGAGGTGACGGGGGTGTCTTCCTCGAGCCCCTCTGGGCTGCGGCAGCAGCGGGGGTCCAGCAGGGGGCAGGCGGGAGGCGGGCAGCTGGAGCCCATGGGCAAGGGGCGTGGACTGCGAAGTGGACCCAACTGTGCGGGGAGGGCGGAGCTCACAGGCTGCCCGGGAGCTCGGACGTCGGGGAGGCGGGGGGCTCCAGGGCTGCAGGCTGAGCTGGGGGTGGAGCACAGGGTGCCGAGTGGCCCTCACAGATCTGTCACCCTCGTTTGCCCAGGAAGGGCCCGGGTGTAAGCGCGTGGGGTTGGGTTTCAGCTTATGTAGCTAAGGAATCGTTTCCAGCTGAGCCCGAGGAGCCCCACCACGGGGGAGCAGGTGCCCGCTTTGCTAGGGGCTGGCGGGGCTGGTGACAGCTGCCCCCGCCATCGTCCCAGGCCTTGGGGCTGTCAGCCCGGCCTCCCCAGGCCCTCTCTCCCTGGCCAGCGCCTCGCGCGAGGCCAGCACGCCAGCTCCGCTCACGGGCGACCGAGGCAAGATGGGGACCGGGCGGCGTTCCAGCACAAGCTTGACGGGCCCCGGACGCGAGGGGCCGGGCGAGGGTGCGGCCAGCCCTGCCGCCGCCAGCGTCTGCCCCGGGCCCGCCCTGCACCGGGCCCCAGCGGGCTCTGCAGCCGCGTAGAGCTGTGGAGCCACTGCCACTCTTCGGGGGCAGGGACTCTGACCCCCTCCGCGAGGGCCTGCGGGGCCCCAGAGCGGAGAGTGGCGTCGCGCCGGCGGCCGCGGCCTCCCAGGGTGTCCAGAAACAGAGCTGTGAGCGGGTCCTGTCTTTAGACACTGGGGGCTGCACTGACGCCTGTCTCCGTGGGCAGTGACGGACAGGACACCTACGCCCTAGGCCTCCAGGCTGTGGCCTCCAGGCTGCATCCCTGCTCTTTGAAATGACGTGCTGACCCGGGGGTCTGCTGACTCTGTGCCCCCCGCCCCCCCTTAGCGCCCCGTCTGCTGCCACAGAGGGAGGGCAGGCACGAGGCCGCGCCCGGGAGAGTCGTGCCATGTGGCGGGGACACGGAGCAGAAAGGCCTGGACCTAGCCGAGCTCCCTGGGGCCATGCTCACCTCCCGCATGAACATACACCCACGTGCAGACCCACAGGCACGCAACGTAGATGCACGTGCGCGCACAGAGACGTGCACACAGGCGTGTCCGAGCACACCCGCGCCCCTGTGTGAGCACCCCGGGCCCCGCGCGGGCACCCCTGTCCGGATGCATGCAGCCGCCCTCGCTCAGCCAGCCCCTCTCTCCGCAGACACCCTGCAGTACTACCTGGCCTGCGCGCCCCGCGCCGCCAACCCCTTCCAGCAGGTGAGAGCCCAGCCACTCGGGCCGCTGGGGCGCAGGGCGGGGCACAGCCAAAATCCCGTGCCAGCCCCGGCCCCTCATCTGGGATGTCCGCAGCCCGCCAGACCCACTGTCAGGCCGGGGAGCGGTGGGGAGACACCTGGACGAAGCTCTTGTTGATATCACTGACTGCCCCTCGGTTACTGCCCTGGTGCCCCCCAAATCCCTGGGACTCCTCTCATTTCTTGGGTTTCCCTTGGCCAGCCCTGCAGGGCAAGCCAGCAGCTGGGAATGGAGAGGCCTAGCAACACCTCACAGTGCAGGCAGTCCTGTGCCAGGCCTGGAATAAGTGGGGAACCCTCAGCCCACTGCCTGTCACTCCCCTGGCTGCCTGGCCCTCGGGGTCCTGATGACAGCCCGTCTGCTTTAAAGACGCTGTGCTCCCAACCATCTGTGTTCTCTGGGTGCGTGGGCGCCCAGGGACCAAGGGGGGGTGTCCCACAGGCCCCCAGAGCGGAGTGCCTGGGCACCGTGTGGGGTGGGGCCTGGGGGAGCGGGCGGCCGCCCTCAGCTGGCCTCTCTGCGGAGCAGAAGCTGTCGGGCAGCCACAAGGCGCTGGTGGAGATGCAAGACATCGTGGCCGAGCTGCTGAAGACCGTCCCCCGGGAGGCCCCGGCCACCAAGGTGAGGGGCGGGCGTTGGGCGGTGCCGCCACGCGGGGGCCTCCTGCCGTCCTTCCACGCAGAGGCCCCTCGTCCCTCTCCTCTGCCTGTCCCTCTGTGTCCCTGGGGGTTTTGGGAGGGTCCTTTAAAAAAATCCTGCTCTTTATTTTAAAAAGCCGTACAAGCTCCTTGTATTAAAAGAATAAGGAAACTGGGAGCAGGTGCAGGAGAAAATGAAGGCCCACCCGCCCGGCGGCGACCCCTCGCCGGTGCGCCCCCTGGGGGCGTCCTGGGGACCTGAGGAGGGCACTGAGCTTTCTCCGGTCTGCGCTGGGCGGCCCTCTCTCACGCAGGCCCACGCACACGGCACCGTCACCATCCCCGCCGGCGCCCGGCTCCCCCGGGGTGCGCACGCTGCCCTGCACTCTCCTGGGATGTTACCCCCTTTTATCTCCTATTTCCGTCAGGGCACCTCTTGGTTTTTGCAAACTGAGGGGATAGGTGGGTGCGTCAGCCTGCTTGGGCGCGGTCACAAAGCGCCACACGGGCGGCCTAGACGTCTGTCTCCGGGGCCTGGAGGCTGGAAGTCTGAGACCCAGGCGGGGGCGGGGCAGCCGCTCCCCGAGGCCTCTCTCCTGGGCGTGGGGACGGCCGCCTCCTCCCTGTGTCCTCGCATGGGCGTCTCTCCCGGTCCGTGTCCCGGTCGCTCCTCACGGGACGCCGGTGACGATGACAGCCCCGCCCGTACGGCCCTATTCCACCTTCGCCGCCGCCTCGCAGAGCCCGTCTCCACGCACATCGCCGCTGGGGCGCTGGCGTCGGGGCATAAGCATGCGATTCTGGGGGACACAGGCCATAGGAGCAAACCATACCCTGAAACCCATTTCAGGCTGCACAGGGCTCTCAGGGGACGTGTCACGCGAGGCGGGGTCGGGTCCGGTGGCTCGTCCGGGGGGACCACTGTCACCCCTGGGGTGTGTCCATGCAGCCTCTTCCCACGGAGGGGTAGGCGCGGTGTCCGTGCGCCCGGACACACACAACGCGGACACACACACGTGGCACAACACAATGCAGATGCACACCCAACACACATGCACACGTGGCACAGGCACAATAGCGCAGACATGCACCCAACACAGACACACGCGTGTCTCACACGCAACAACATAGGCAATGCATACGCACGCCCAATGCACACACATGACACAGACACCCAACACAGACACACACGTGACACACACACACACTGCAGACACAACGCAGGTGCACACCCAGCAACACGGACACACACGTGTCTCACACACAACACAATGCAGACATACCCAATGCACACACGTGACAGGCACAACACAGGCATGCACCCAACACGGACACACACATATGTGCCCCCACACACCCAACACACGTGACACAGGCACACAACGTAGGCACGATACAGATGCACACCAGCAACATGGACACACAACAATGCAGATGCACACACATGTGTCGACGCACAATGCAAACAGAAAAATGCAGACATACCCAACAACACACACACGCACGACACACACACCTAAACACACAACAACACAAACACGATCAGGCTCACTCTGCACAGTGTTTTCAGTAACATTTGATCACTTTAAAAAGTCATGAGAATTTTTCCTTGTCTTTAGCTCTTTCTTAAAATACAACTTCTGCCCTGGCGGGTGTGGCTCCGTGGCCTGAGCACCGGCCCGAGAACAAAGGGTCTCCAGTTCAATTCCCAGTCAGGGCCCAGGCCTGGGTTGCGGGCCAGGTTCCCAGTGCGGGTGTGCAAGAGGCAACCACACATTGATGCTTCTCTCCCTCTCTTTCCCTCTCTCTAAAAATAAATAAAAATCTTAAAAAAAAAAATACAAGTTCTAAAAGAACCAGGCCCGCCCTGGCAGGCATGGCTCGGTTGGTTGGAGCATTGTCCTGTAACCAAAGGGTTGTGGGTTCCATTTCAGCTTCCAGTCGGGGCACGTGCCTGGGTCTCAGGTTCGGTTCCCCATCAGGGAATGTACAGGAGGCAGCCAATCAATATTTCTTTCTCACATCAACGTTTTTCTTAAAAAAAATGAAATAAAAGTCCTCAGTGAGGATTAAAAAAAAAGAACAAGGCCCATGTCAAGAGACATGTGGGTATTTCTGTTCCTCCTGTCGCAACCAAGTGGCCACATGGGGTGGGTGTCCTGGACAGGCGTTTGTGGGTCCCCCATCCCCCCACCCTCGCGTCCTCAGCTGTCCCCTGAGGCCAGGCCCTGGCAGCTTGTGAAAGCCCGGGACCCTCAAGGCCTGGGTGGAGACCGTGGCGGGGAGATGGAGACTGGGAGGGTCCCCGGCACCGGGGGCTGGCTGGGGTTCCCCCTTCCGACTGCGGCGCTGACCCCATGTGGCGTGTGTCCCCCAGGACCCTCTGCTACGTGTCCAGGAGGTGCTGAACGGCACGGAGGTGAACCTGCAGCACCTCACGGCCCTGGTGGACTGCCGCAGCCTGCACCTGGTGAGGGCCACCTCCGGGCCGGGCCTGTGGTGGGGGAGGGGCGCGGCCGGCGTGGCAGACATGGCCCCGCCGAGCCAGCCCCTGGGTAGCAGGGTGGCCTGGCGGCTGTGAGCCGGGCTGCAACCCGAGCACCCCGCCTCACCCTGCGTCCCATCCCGTCTCTCCCCGCGCCCGCGGGCTCGCCTCCCCGTCCCTGCCGGACCAGGACTACGTGCAGGCGCTGACTGGCTTCTGCTACGACGGCGTCGAGGGCCTCATCTACCTGGCGCTCTTCTCCTTCGTCACGGCGCTCATGTTCAGCTCCGTCGTCTGCAGCGTCCCGCACACCTGGCAGCAGAAGAGGTGAGGGGCTCCGAGAGGCCCTAGCGCTCCCCCCTCCGCCGCCACGGCCCGCGGGGCGTGTGAGGGACCTGCCTTCCGGGCACCCCCGCCCTCGTCCCCAGAGACAGGGACCAGGGCCGCCTCGCCTCCTGGCGCGCCCTCAGCCCCTGCGGGGTGTCTGTGAGGCCGGCGGGTCCTAGATGAGCCCCATGCCACAGACAGAAGACCAAGCCTGAGGAGCCCCCTGTGCGGGCACGCAGGCCAGAGCCGGCGGGGAGAAGCAGGCCCCGCCCTGTGGGGCCGGCAGCCGCCCCACCCCGTCCACGCCTCCGGCGTCTGGGCCGCCTCCCCTCCCCGGGTGCAGAGGTGCAGGGTCGCGGTGGGCGAGGGCCGCCGGCCGGCTGCGGGCACTCGCGGCTTTGCAGCGAGGGTCCCGGGTGGCTTCCGTGGCCCACTCCGCTGGCCGACCAGGATGGCAGCTACCACGCAGGAGGCCACTGTGCCCTTACCTTTGAAGCGGGCTCCTGCCTCAGTCTCCCCAGTCGGCACTGGGTCGGCGGTGTATCGAGGTGCCAGGCCCCTTCCCTTCCTGGGCCCCATGGCTCACCTCCCGCAGCCACCACCTCCCCTCCCCTTTGGGCTATGGCGGCGCCGCAGTCGCCCAGCTCAGAGGGCGGACAGCTCAGCCCCAGCCCCTCCCCTTTGTCCGGGTCCCTACTCCATTGGTTTCTGCTGCGCTGGTGCTGCTGCTGCTGCCCAAAGAGGAGGTGGTGACGGTGGTGACGATGATGGTGACAATGAGGGCGGTGGCTGCGGTGGCGGCGGCAACAAAGATGGCAGCTCCAGGACAGGGTCTCAGAGCACAGCCCTGGAGCCGCGCAGCCTGGATTCCGGTCCTGGCCCCGCCCTTGCTGACCGGCGGACAATGGACGAGGCCCTGGCCGCTGTGGGCCCCGATCTCCTTGGTTGTAAAGTGAGGGCAGTGAGAGGGTGCAGCTCCTGGGGCCCCTGCGCCCCGCTTTCATCAGCAGAGGGTCCCCACATGCAGGCTGCGGCCCAGGGCCCCTCGGCGCCCAGTCTCTGGGAGAAGCTGGGCGACTGACCGCAGCCCGTGGTCCGCGTGGCGCAGCTGGGTCGGAACCAGGCGTGTCCGCACCGGAGCCGGACGCCCGCAGGGCCCTGGTGGCCGCCTCGCGCCTGGGCCTGAGCTGGTGCTGGGTGTCCCTCCACAGAGGCCCCGACGAGGACGGGGAGGAGGAGGCCGCCCCGGGGCCGAGGCAGGCGCACGACAGCCTCTACCGCGTCCACATGCCCAGCCTGTACAGCTGTGGCAGCAGCTACGGCAGCGAGGCCAGCATCCCGGCCGCCGCCCACACCGTCAGCAACGCCCCGGTCACCGAGTACATGTGAGTCGTGCGGGAGCTGGGGGCGGGCAGGGCCAGCTGCGGGGGCTCCGTGGGGCCGCAGGCAATTGCCCGGCCGCAGCTTGGGGGGGCGGGCCCAGCCTGGGCCAGTGACCAAGGAGAGGGGCGTTGGGGAAACGGCGGAACCGGGGTGGGGGCCGTGGGCAGATGCCCAAAGGGGCCATCCTGCAGCGGGGGCCCCGCCAGGGCCGGGCCACCCCCGGGGGCCGCCAGCGTTCGGGGTGGGCTCGGCCTGGCAGCGCGTGCCTTCCGGGGCCAGGCAAGCCTGCGCCCAGGCCCGGCTCGTGGGGGCGGGCAGCCAGGTGAGGGCAAACTCCAGCAGGGCCGAGCGGGCAGGCGGGCACCTGGGCCTGCTCTGAGCCCTGGGTTGCTGTGCCGGGCTCGTGCCAGCAGGTGGCATCCGGGGCGGTGAGAAGGCACAGGGTGTGCCCACCCCGCTGAAGTTAGGGGTGGGGGCGCCGAGCAGAGCAGGGCGCACGCCAGGCTCAGGGCTGGGACCGCCACGGCCCGCGGTCACTCACGGCCCCTCTCTCTGCACCCAGGAGCCAGAATGCCAACTTCCAGAACCCCCGCTGCGAGAACACCCCCCTCATCGGGCGCGAGTCCCCACCACCCTCAGTAAGTCGGGGCAGGGGGCGGAGCCCTGCCGCCTGGGCGGCCTGGTGCGGGCCTCTGCACGCCTGCAGCTGGGCACATGGGGTTGGGGGGGCTCGCAAGCTGGCCTTGAGGCGCCCTGGGGCCCGATTGGGCAGCAGGGGCCAGCGCCTGGCCGCTGGCGCGGCGCTGAGGGGCCCCAGCATCTTCTTTCCAGCTGACCTGCTTCCTCCTCTTTCCCATTTTCTGACATCCTGAATGGAACCGGGTCTCAGCTCCTAGGGCTCAGCCCAGCCTGGCGTCCCCTGGGCCCTCAGGGCGGAAACCTGGGAAAGAGGGGACAGAGTGGTTTTGTGCCAAAGACAAGGAGCTTACAGAGAGGCGGGGCCCCGGGCGGGCTCCCTGGAGGTGGCGGGCTGCAGAGGACGGGCGGCCAGAGGGGCCGGCGGTCGCCTTGCTGCAGAAGCGCCTGCCTGCGGGGGCAGCGGCCACACTGTGCCCTGCAGCTGGGCCGGCCCGGACCTCCGGGGCCCAGGCACTGCAACTCCCAGGCTCCCGGGCTCCCTGCCCCCTGGCACTGTGATCCGGCCCCCAGCCCCCAGCTGGGCCTGCATCCTGGCGTTGAGGCCACTCTCTCTCTCTCTCTCTCCTGCCCCCTCCCGCCCCGGGTCCTCCCAGCGGTATCTGGCCGCCCTGGACTCTGGCAGCCACACGGGCTGGCAGTTTAAGCCCCTGGACAGTGCCCGAGCGCGGTGGTGGCCGTGCCCTCAGAGCGACAGGTACTGACCCACCGGGTCCCCTGCCCTGTGCAGCGCCTGCCCGCCCGCCTCCGTGCCGCACGCCCTCTGCTCGCCGCTCTCCCCAGCAGGGCCGGCGTGGGCCTGTCAGAGGAGCCCCGGGGCCGCCCCAGGTCGGTGCCGTGGGCTGGCTCTGGGCGTGCACAGGCCTGTGGGCTTTGTGGCCTCTAGACCGTCGCCCCCACGTCGGGGCAGTGAGACCGTCCCCACCCCGGCCCAGCTGCAGGCGGCCGCAGCTTCTCCAGGCACCTCCCAGCAGGGAGGCCGTCCGCCCCGGCCCCGTGCATGCGTGCGCCGAGGGCGGGGGTGGCCCGCGGGCCTGGCCCTCACGGCGCAGCCCTGCATGTCCGGAAGCGCGCACGGCGGCGCAGGCGAGCGTGTGCGCCGCTCCCGGCCACCCCTCGCACTGTGCGCCTGCTCGGGCTCCCTCGGGGGCCTGGCTGCAGCCACCGCCCCTGCCCGCTGCATGGCCACGCAATGCCCCAGCCCCCCGTGCCCGCTGCTGCCCCTCCGTGTCCCTTCTGGCGCCCAACGGGCACGGCAGCCCCTCCCCGGCAGGAGTTGTGGGAGGGCTCCCAGGACCAGGGGACTCAGTGCACCCCCCTGAGCTGGGGACCGTGGGGTGGGCTAGTGTGTGGCCCTGGGGTCAGCCTGCCAGACTCCTTAACCCCTGGTGACCTGTGCCTCGTGTCTTGGTCTTTGCTCCCCCACGAGTGTGGGACTCTGCACACTGACCATACCACACGTGTGCACACACATGTGCACTGAGCAAGGCCTCGAGCTCCAGGGTAGACGAGGGCAGCTGAGGTGTGCAGGCCCCCCCTCCCTCAGGGGCCGGTCCCTGCATCTGAGACCTGGGGGTGGTTCCCAGCTGGCCCCCCAGTTCAGGGGACCGCAGCACCACCTCCGCCCGAGCTTTGGGGGCCCTCCTTTCCCGGGGTGACTGGCAGAGCAGCCCACGCATGGCTCTGCCGGTCTGGGCCCTGGTGGACCGCCTGGCTCTTCCTGGAACACAAGCCGCGCCGCCCTTGCGCAGTGCTCGGCTCCGCCCGCAGGGGGAGGAAGGCCTGTGTGCGGCCTCAGGCCCCGGGCGCGGGGGGCCTTCAAGCGCTGGCTTTTCGGGGCGGGGCAGAGCATTCGTCTCCTCAGGACAGGGCCCTTGGGGGCCCGCAGTCCCCACACTGGGCCTCCTGGTCCCCTGCACCCTCCCCCCAGGCTGCCAGCCGCCACACCGCCCTGCCCCGGGGCGCTCGCAGCTGCCCGCCGAGGCTGTGCCGCGCCCCGCTCACCGCACCCCGTCTCCCTGCAGTACACGTCCAGCATGAGAGCCAAGTACCTCGCCACGAGCCAGCCTCGCCCCGACTCCAGCGGCAGCGGCCACTAGACCGCCAGGCCAGCCACCGCCCCTCGTGCCAATCGCCCTGCTCCGCCCCAGGCCAGCACTGCCGCTTCCACCTGCCACGAGGCCGCCCGCCAGGCCCTCCCCTCCCCTCCCCTCCCCGCAGGGCCCCCGGGCCGTGCCCTGTCCCTGGGCCTCATGCCTGTGCACCTGGGAGCGCTGCCAAGGGACCCCGGGCCCCGGCCCCGGCCCCACGCCCTCTGCCCTCCCAGGGCTCCGATTCCGGGCCACAGCCGGCCACAGGCCCTCGGACCCTGCAGCCTCCACCCCGCAGCGCCCGCCTTCCCTCTGCAGCCCGGTGCCTCGGGCCACCTCGTGCCAGCGCCTCCTCGCTCCTCCCCACCGCGTCTCCCTCCTCTTCTTCCACGCAGCAGGCCCCTCCCACCCGTGGGCAGAGGCCTCCGGAGCGCCCGCCTTCTCTGCCTCCTGCCCAACAATGCTTTCTCCCGCAGCGCCCGCAGCGCCCGGCCCTCCACGCGGCAGGAGGGCACTGGGCCCAGGCCGCTCACCCAGTGCTGGCCGCCTTCTTGGTGCCAAACCCCCTCCTTCCCCCTCCAGACGTGGCAGCTCGTCCCGGCTCGCTCTGGCACTAACCAGACTCGTCCTCCCTGGGGCAGGTGGGCCCGGGGCCGCCGGCGAGCACCCTCCCCTGCCCCCTTTCTGTTCAGGACAGGTGCAGCGTCCCGGAGCCTGGGCTCGGGGCCGGACCCGAGCCGCCTGTGAATGAGCCCCAGCCCCTACCGCCCCCTGGGACTAACCACTAACCTCACCCCGGCCACCCGCCGCTCCCCCGGCCAGGCTGGCGCGCGGGACCCCGAGTCCAGGACAGCCAGCCGGAGTCCGGCCGGAGCCGCTGGTTCTTGTTGGGGTGCAGCTGCGGGGGGCACCGACCCGCGGGCAGCCCAAGGCCCTGGAGAGCCCTCCCCAGGCCGCGGGTGCCCCAGGAGGACTGTGGGCTGCAGGACCGGAGTCTCTGTGGCCTCGGTCTCCCTACCTGTGAAGTGGGAGCAAGACCTCCCTTGGGTGCTTTTGGCTTTAGTGTACAATGTTTGCTGTTTCCGGCTGCGGAGGGGCCAACCCCAAGTCGGGACCGGACGTCCCCTGCCAGCCCCAGCCCTGGCCTGGCCATCCTCCCACGGAGAGGCTGGGTGCAGGCTGCGGCCTGTGTGAGGCCCCAGCCTGTCCGCAGAGGGAGCCAGGCAGCTGGCCAGGCAGTTTACAGACGCATGGGCGCGAGCTCCCCGAGCAGCGGCAGCACCCCTTCCCCGGGACCAGCTGGGGAGAGGCCGCCCTCCCTTCCTCTCTCCCTCCGGGACCTTCTGTCTTTGTGCTGGTGTCTGGGACCAAAAGGGCAGGACTAGGCCACATCTGCCCTACCCGGGGTCGGCCCCTACCCCGGAAAGGGAGGGCGTGAGTGGACTCACACTTGGGCCCCTGGCATGGCTGGACCTCGCTGCGCTGCTGGGCGCTCCAGATCCCCGGCCACCCACAGCCTGCCTGCCCACTCTGTTCCCTGGGCTCCGCCCACTCTGCTCCCTGGGCTCCGCCCACTCGCTCCCTGGGCTCCGCCCCTTGGCCGGAGCGTCAGGCCTGGGTCTGGAGGGGCCGGTCTTGCGGCGCCTGCCGGCCTCGTGCTCAGCACAGCCCGCCCGGGCTGCCCCGGGCGAAAGAGGACGCCAGAGCGGCCGCCCCGCCCAGACCTGTGCCGACGTGGAGTCCCGCCATGCGCGTGGCCGCTTGCCCGTGACTCCCCCAGTTGCCCCACTCCCCAAAGCTGAATAAAGGAAAAGGGAGGAAACAAAAGGGGTGCAAGCCTGACCTTCAGCCATGGGTGGGGAGACGGGTCCCACATTGGTTTTACTTCTGTGTTTGGGGCCCCTTCCTAGCCGTCCCCCATCCCATCCCACGGACCCCTCCCCCTCCCCCCTCCCCAGCGGGCCTTGGGCCCTCGGGTCCTGCGGCATCTTGGGGGGTGGGTCCTCGGCCATGCGCGGGGCAGGGAGCCTACGAAGCCCACAGGCTGAGCCCCGCTGGGCTGGGTGGGCTGGCGGCGGGGCCCCGGAGGCCTGGTTGGGAGCCCCCGGCCCTCCCCCAGCCACACCCGCCCCATCTCACTATGCAATTCCAGTCCGAGCACCAGGCCCCCCACCCAGCACCCTGCCCAGCCCGGGGGGTGGGGGCGGCAGCCCCACGGGGCCCAGTGGGGGGTTGGGGGAGGTTTTTGTTTAGCCACATGGTCGTGTTCGCTACACATAATCTATATCGATACAGTTATGTTGAGACTCCAACCCTCCTGGTCCCCTCCCGCGGTCCCCTCCCTCCCGATTTAATATCCAACCCCACTGGGGACGGAGGCCTGAGCCACGGGTCACTGACCTCTGACCTCTGACCTCCCCAGGGCCATGGCTGGATGTGCTGTCGCTGTGTTTGTTTGTTTTTTATTTCTTTCTTTCTTTTTCTTTTTTTCCCAAACTGGGCTTGGGGTTTAATTTTTATATCTTTGGGGCTTTATTTTTCTCGGCAAATACTAAAATCTCGTCAATATAATTTCTGTGGTTTCTATTCAGCTTGGGTTTCATGTTTTAAAATAAACAAATTTTAAAAAACAGGTCTCTCGCTCCCCGAGTCGTCCCGACTCCCGCCGGAGGAGTCTGTGGGCAGGGCTGCCACGTGCGTGCGCGGACGCTGGGGTGGGGAAGCGCTGGAGTGGGCGGCCCACCCGGCTTTGGGGGCGGGGCCTTGGGCCGCTGCGCGGCGGCAGCCGCCTTGCGGCGTGAGGGCTGGGAGGCCTGTGCCCGACTCCTGTCTCATGCGTGGAAGGAAAGCCCACTCTGCAATCTGGATATGCAGTGGAGGGGCCCGAGGGGACGTGGACTGCTGTGCGGAGACGGCCACCAGCAGCAGAGGAGATGGGAAGGGGGCCGGGGCCGGGGCCGGGGGCGGGGCGGGGCGGGGCGGGAGTGGTGGGTGCCTGTCACCCCGGGCTGCAGGAGAGCCACGCGGCCGGGGGCGGGGTTCCGTGAGGCCCGAGGCTCCCGGCCCCGAGCTCGGGGTGAGGCTGGCAGGGGAGGTCTTCCTGCCACTGTCCGGGGGTGGGAGCTGAGTAGGGAAGGGCTGCACAGAGTGGGTCAGGCCAGAGGCTGGGCCTGTGTGGACAAGAGGCTGAGGGAGGGGAAGGTGAGGCCAGGCGAGGTCAAGGGCATGGCCGACCTGGGACTTCAGCCACGGGAGGGCTTGAAGGGTGAGGGGTGAGGGGTGCCGTGGGGGCAGGAAATCGGAGGAACCCCTGGGCGGCAGGGGGAGCAGAGTGGATGATGTTGCTGTGGGGTGGGCAAGGCCTGGGGAGCGGCCGCGGAGTGGGGGCCGACCGAGGGGTCGTGGCCTCGAGGACGGGAGGCGGGGCAGGACTGGTGGGCAGAGGCTGCGGAAGACCCGCCCCGCCCCTCAGTTCCCGCCGGACTGGAAGCCCTTTGAGAAGCTGTGTTCCCAGCTGCTGGTCTGGGCTCGGCTGTGACTGCCACGCTGGGGCCGAAGTGGGAGGTCCGTGGCTGAGGTCGAGGACCCGGGAGTCCGCTGGGCTGGGCCGGGCCGCGAGGAGAGGCGCCCGCCAGCCCTGCCCCAGAGCCACGGGGCGGGACAGTGGCAGGAACGGCCTCTGGACTTCACGCACATTGCTCAGACCAAATATTGGTCCTAATGTTGAGATCCGTGATGCGGATTTTTAAGAGCAAGAGTGGGGCTGCAGGCTGTGGCAAGGGTCTCCCCGCCCCGCCCCTGGGGGCTGCACCCACGGATCTGGACCCAGCTCTCTGGGGAAGGTGGATTCGGACAGGCGAAGAAGCCACCACCTCTGGCCAGCAGCTGGCGCCCAAGGTCCATGGGGTGCTGTGCAGGAGGGGACCCAGCAACGTGGGGTGGGGGGGCTCCCAGCCCCCAAACTCAGCGTGGCAACCTGCAGGGGCCTGGGTGTCGCCTAGCCGTGGGTCCGGCCCAGGGCCCAGAGAGGACATGGGAGGGGGCCACCTCCAAGCACGGCTGGCAAGGCAGCAGCAGGACCAGCTGGTCTGACTGAAGGATGCGGCTGGCCCGGGCCACCAATTACCATTGGACCCCCGCCGCCGAGAGGGCAGGATGGGCCGCAGCCGCCAGCAGGGTCCAGCCTCCCACCTCAGCAGGCCCTGCTTGCTGCTGGTGGGGCGGCCTGGGCCAGGGTCCTGGAGACCCGAGCTGTCCCCCGCCTCCCAGCCTTGCGGGCGGCTCGATCCGCCGGGCTGGATCCGCCGCCCCCGTGCCGGCTGGCCGGGACCTGGAGCACCCCCTCGGCGCACGGCAGCTCGGCAGGCCCCCTGCTCCAGCTGACGCCGCTTCGGGGAAGCCGGTCACGTCAGCCCAGTGGAAAGGAAGTTCTAACTGAGCTGAGAGGGGCCCCACCCGGGCACCCTCAGCCCCTCCCAGACCTGGCCGCCCGGAAGCCAGCGGTGGCGGGGGGCGGTGAGCACCAGCGGCCAGCGCACGGAGGTCTCACGTTTTATTCCTGAAAGCTACAGCCGTTCGGGAGGGGCCCGGCTGGGGGACAGGGAGCCCCTCGGGCCAGTCAGGAGGACCCTTTCCAACCGGCCACCACCCAGTGTGTGTGGGTTGGGGGTGATGATGCCACGAGAGGGTGGGGCCTGCCGAGGTCCCCTCTTCTAACTCCATGACTCATCTGCGCGGCAGGGTGGGGGAGCCTTGCTTCCCCTTCTGAAGACAGAGAACTTCCCTTCCTGGCAGCTGTCAGCGCCTCACTTAGAAGACAAGGCCACGGTGCCACTGGCCTGGGCCCCCAAGGCCCCGGCCAGCCCCAGAGCACCAGCAGCTGGGCTGCATTTACCGCTGTCCCCATTGCTCAGACGGAGCGGCTGAGGCTCTGGAAGGGGCCGGACCTCGTCCGCCTGCCCGGTGCCCCTCTGCCCTGTCGTCCCGACCCAGCGCCCCTGACTCGGGGACCGTTGGGACAGCCCCGATGTGGACAAGGGCCGCACCTGCCACACCGGCACCCGGGGGCCCCCTCGCTCCGTGGAGAGGGGGTGCCAGCTGCCTGAGGCAGCCCTGGGCCCCCGTCTGACCCACGAAGGCATCTCTGACTCACCCAGGCAGGAAGGGGCCCGGGCCTGTGCCCGCGGTGGCTGTGTCACTTCCCCTTACCACCCCACGAGATGTGGCCGCTGCCGCGCCCCGCCCCCGCCCCCACCCCAGCAGGGTGCATGGTGGTGTCGGGAGACCATGGGGCCCCCTCCCCTCCCACCGGCCCGGTCGCCCTCCCGGAAGCCAGCGCCGCGGACTCAGGCCTGTCTGTGGCGGGTGGTGGTGGTGGGGGGGGACTCGGGTCCAGGCCAGGGCAGCCACCAGCCAGGGCTGCGAGGGAGCTGATATGAGCCCGGGACCGTGGGGGTGGAGGTGGCATTTGGCCCCAGTAGGTTGGGGTGGGGACAGGAGATGGCTCTCCACTGTGTTGATGGGGTGAGCCTGGGGCGGGTGGAGGTGGGAGGAGGGGGCTTGGAGCCCGGGGCAGCTGGGGGCCGCTGGGGGCCGAGCCGGGCAGAGCCCCCAGGGCGGTGAGGTGCAGGGGGAAACGAGGGCTGCCTGGCCCCTGCGGGAGGCGTGGGCAGGGAACTCCCAGGTGCGAGGGGCAGAGAGCCCTGCCAGCGCCGCGTCAGCCCCTCAGGGCTGCCCTCTGCAGGACACGGGCCCCCCGAGTCCTGGCCCGGCCCCCAGGGCCTGGGGGGAGGGGATGAGCGCTCGCAGCGTTGGGCACGGAGGGTGGGGGCCAAGGTCCCCCAAGTTTGAGGGCTTCACCACCCCAGCTGCCTGACCTCGGACATCACCCACGCCAAGCCTGTTTCCCCGTCTGCAAAATGGGACCAGAGCGCGTCCTCTGTGGGTACGAAGCCAGGTCAGGGGTCCCAGGCCAGGCCACAGCAGGGCCCCCTCTACTCCCCTCCCCACTGTGAGTGCAAATCTCAGACAGACCAGGACCCCAAGAACATGGCCCCGAAGAGCACCTTTATTCACAGCAAAGGACGTCACCATAGCAACCACGCTTCGATTCCCTGAGAACTTTTCCCTTATTGTTCGTTTTCCTAGCTATGTCTTTGCAGAAAGATACACAGAAGACAGAACACGCGCCCGGGCCAGGTGCGCCCAGTGGGCGGCGGGAGGCAGGTCGATGGAGAGAGACCCAGAAACACACGGAGCGTGAGACAACGCGGCTTCGGCCACGGAGGTGACCCCGAGGGCAGCTGCTGCTTTTTCTGATCCACAGAAAAGATATCACACCCTCCCCCGCTCCCCAAAAACAAAGACAAAAACACCTGCCTTTTTACTCACCCTCTTGAAAAACAAGCACAGTAAAAAAAATACTGTCACAATATTTACAGACACGCCCACTATGGGCGACTTTCTCTCTACTTTGGAGAGGAGATAACATGCTCAGCTCTGACTCCGCCTCTCGGGGAGACAAAGGGAAGAGCGGGCGGGGAGGCCCCGCCCAGGGGGCTGGGGGAGTCACCGAACACCCGGCCGCCCGGCCGCTGGGGGCTTCGTGGGGCCGGCGGACCTGGGCAGGGGTCGCTGTTCCTCGGTGCCACGGTGCCCAGGCCAGAGCTCAGAGGGAGAAGGAGAAGGAGGAGGAGGCTGGGCCATTGCCCCCCAAACCCAGCCTCTTGAAGGGCTCAGTTGTCCTGGGGGCTCTGAGGTGGGTGCCCAGCCCAGGGCAGGGCGGTCCAAAGACCCACAAGAGTAACATAAAACTGCCCCAGAGTGACCTCTGACGTGAACCCTTCCAGACCCGGCTCCAGAGCCCGCTGACCGCAGAACGTGAAGGCAGGCAGGCAGGCCCCCGTGTCTGCTTGTGGGCAGAGCAGGCGGCCAGCAGCCTGCTACGCAGATGGGCACAGAGCACTCACAGAGGGAGGCTCGGCCCCGGGGGCCTCGGACAACGAGGCCAGGGCAGCACAGTGGGCGTCCCCGGGCCCTTTGGATACCAGGGGCGCCTGGGGACGGGGTCTCAGCTGAGGCAGCTAGAAGACGGTGGTGCGGGGACACCAGGGTGTGTCCGGGTACAGGTGGCAGTGGATGGAGCGGAACCTGTGGGGACAGAGTGAGGGGCCGGTCCATGGGAGGCGGGGCCCCCTCTGCCCCGGGCAGGGATCCTGGGGGCACAGAGACACCGAGGGACATGCAGCTCCACCTCCACCAGACTGGCCAGGCACTGGCCTCGGTGATCCCCAGCCTCCCCCGGGCCTCCGCGTCCTCACCTGGACGGGTCGGCCTCCACCGAGAAGGGCCCTTTCACGTGCACCGCGTTCCGCTTGTTCTCAAACATGCCGTAGCTCAGGGTCACCTGCGCGGGGAGGAGCAGAGTGATGCCCGGCGCGGCCCCAACGCCCCAGCTCCGCCCAGGGCTGGCCCTGCGGCTCTGGACGAGGGGCCGGCCTTGCCTGCACCCCTCGGGCCAAGGCAGGCCGAGGGGCCGCGTGGCACCACGCCCCACCTGCTCTGCGCAGCCAGAAAATAAGGTGCCAAGTGCTACGGGCGAGAGCACCCACTGACACAGGGAAAGACCCAAGAGGCCCAGAGGACGAGAAGGGCAGACCAGAGGATTTGCCGGCGGGGACACCTGGAGGTCTGGGCGGCCTTTCCTGACCCCTGTGTTTTAACAGTGGCCCCGGCCCCCCGCCCGTCTGGCGGGCCCCCTCCCGGTCGGCACACCTGCTCCTGGAGCTCCGAGGGCGGCACCTGCTGCAGGCTCTCCAGGTGGGAGTGGAACAGCCCGCTGCGGGTGAGGGGCACGCCCAGCAGCGCCTCCACGATGTAGCCCACGGTGCAGTCGTCCGGCAGCCGGATCCGCTCGGCCGTGCTCATGAAGTGGCCCCCGCTGTGGGAGCGAAGGGCTGCAATATGAGCAGAGGCGGGAGCCTGCCGCCCTCCGGGAGCTGGGCAGGACCCCGCCCGCCAGAGGCCGCACAGAGCGAGGAGGCCGGGCTCGGAGAGACGTGGACGAGTCGCTGGGAGCAGGCCCCTCGGGGGGCTCTCTGCCAGCAGCTCCGCCTGCCCCCCGAGCGCCGGCACGGCTCGCCGCTCTGTACCAGCCTGGTGACGTGCTGCGAGTCAGGAGTTGCTGGCAGTGAGGGGCCCTGCACTAGGGCCCTTGGCCCTGGTGCCGACAGCCGACAGCCGGGTGTCTGCCGGCAGGAGGTGGGAAGTGGTGGGGACTGCAACTCGACCTGCAGTGAGGTTGGGGACACCCCTCCTGGGAAGGGACCACGCCCGGCCCCGCTTGCGGGGACCTAGGACCTGGAGCAGCCTGGCCGGCAGAGCAGCTGGCCCTGGGCCCCGGCACTCACCTGGCCCACGGGCTCATCCTCAGGGCCAGCGCGCGGCTGATGCAGAAGCCGGCTCCGCCCGTGGCAAACCAGAAGTGGACCGGACGCTGCGGGACAGGGCAACGTGGTGAGACCCCACTCCAGGCCAGACAGGACCCTCAGCCTCCTCCCGGCTCACTCAGGCATCGTGCACGGCCTGCTCACCATCTTGTTCTCGCTGACCCTCTCGGTGGCCTGGATGGGCCTGTCCAGGCTAGGCTTGCCGATGTAAACGTCCTGAGTGTGGGGGTAGCTGGCCAGCAGGCGCAGCAGGGCCCGCACGTTGACGTAGTTGTCATCGTCCACGTGGCAGAACCACCTGAGGGCAGGCAGGGGTGTGAGTGGGGTCCACGCTGTGCAAGAGGGGAGAGCTGCTGGGATGGGAGCCTGGCGGGGGGGCACGTGCCCTGGGCCCCAGCCAGGGGCTTGCACTCACTTCCTCCCCGATTCGATGAAGTGGTCATACTCCACCGCCATCTTGCAGGACAGGGCCTGGCGGCTGTGGGCAGCCGAGCAGTTAGTGTTGACCACGTTGCCTGTGGACAAGGGGTGTGGGCCACAGCTCAGTCCGAGCTGGGCCAGGAAAGACGGCCCGGCCTGGAGTCACACGGCTGCCCGTGAGAGCCGGGCAGGGAGCACGGGCGGCCGTCCGGCCGTCCGGCCCAGTGCGCCTCGGGTTCCGTCAGGCTGTGTGCCCTGCGCCGGGCTCCCCGCTCAGACCACCACCACTCCACCCCCCGCCGCCCCACCCCACCCCCGCCCCGTGCTAGACGCAGGCTCAGTGACGCCCCCCGCCTCAGCCCAACCCCGCACGGCCGGCCGCCCTGCCCCGCCTCTACCCATTCAGGCTGCTTTTTCCCAGCACCGGCCACCTGTTGCTCAAAGGGGCCACAGCCGCTCAAAGGGGCCGGGGAGCTGAAAGGGCCTCATTTGCATGAGAATTGGGGGGGGCAAGTGGTGGGGCGGGGCACTGAGCAAACCAGTTGAGTAAACTGCCCGTGGCCTCTGCGACCTCTCCGGAGCGGAGGAGGATGGGGGCGCGGTTTCCTCCTCGGAGTGGAGCCCCCCGCACCTCCCCAAGCCCAGGGCTCACCCATGCGCCGGGCCAGGGCCTCATCTTCCCCGTCGGTGAAAATGAACGTCTGGAAGGAGAAACATGGCCTTGAACAGGCGGCTCTGTGTCCCCGACCTTGGGCCCCCGGGAGCCAGGGCTGAGCCCCCTGGCGCTGCAGCCGCTGCAGCTCGGTCACGCCCACGCCCCGCCTCTCTCTGGGCCTCAGTTTCCCCACGTGCAAGAGCCGAGCAGCGCCGGGGCTTATGTAGACCCCACCCTCCTGTTGACAGCTGGGCCCAAGGTCGCCCCGCAGCTGCGCTGGCACGAGCCAGGTGGGGCACCCCACCCGCCCGCCCGCCCGCCAGGTAACCGGCTCCAGGCCCGCCCAGCGCACCTGCCGGGGCACACACCCTTATTGACACAGCGCCCGACCTGGAGGAGGGGCGTAGGGTGGTGGGGGGACAGGCGGAGGAGGTCGGCTTTGGGAAGCCAAGTCTCAATCAGTCGAGGACAAAGGCCTCGGCTGGGCGGCTGCCAAGTCCTGGCGGACAAAGGGCCCGGAGGGAGGGTGAATCACCAGGCGTTGTCCGCCAGCTTTGTCCCGGGCCGCAGGCGAGGGGCGCCGGGCAGGCCTTAACTGGGCCGCGTTAAGCGAGAGTGGCCGTACCGCCCATTACCATACAGCTGGCCTGGTTAACTGGGCGGCGGGCGCGAGGTCCGGCGGGCAGGGGTGCGGCCGCGGCACTGCGGTCCTCAGGGCTGGGCCATCAGGCCGGGGGGGCCCCCGTATCCCTAGCTGTGTGACCGGTGGGCAGGTCACCTTCTGAGCCAAAGCAGCCACCGCTGTTCTCTGGAGACGCCCAGGGTCCGGGAGGAGGCAGGGAGCCGCACACGCCCCAGGCCGCGACGGATCGGCACCCCGGCGTCCATGCCACCCAGCATCCCCCTCCCGCCGCTGGGGCAAGGAAGCCGGGCTGGAAGGCAGGCCTGGCTGAAGCCACATCAAGGCTTCCCCTGTGCCAGCACAAGGCCACCCCTGCCAGGATTGCGCCTTGGAAGAGGTGGGGGGGGAGACGGGGCGGGGCCAGGAGCTGCCGGCGCCCGCCTGGGCCAGTCGGCACAAGGGAGGAATGTTCCTTCCTCTGCCCTGCCCGCCCTGCGCGTGCCGCCGGGCGCACCCAGGCCTGGCTGAGTGCAAAGCCTGGGGCCTGGGGCAGGGGCGGGGGCCCTCACCTGCTCTGAGCACCAGCTGCAGGAGACCCCCCCCCCATGCCCTACAGGCCTCGGTTTCCTCCTGTGTGCGAGCGGGTCTCACGGAGGGTCTAGCATGTGCAGGCCTGGCTCACAGCGCACACCCAGGGATGTGGGGCCCACCTGGGGTGCCCGCCCGCACCTGGGCCCCGACCTGACCCCAGACCCGAGCACACACTCAGGTGTGGCCACGAGCTGGGAACTCCAGGCTCAGCGCTGGAGGGCGGCAGGCTCCATCCACAGCCTCTGCACACAACCCACAACCCCCCCTACCCCCCTGCCTCACACAGCCCGCCCGCCAGGCACCCCCGGGCAGCCCGCACGCACAGACTCGTACCCGGCCCCCCCCAACCCGTGCCCCAGCATCTCAGCCCAGGAATGCCGTGGGAGGCTGAGGCCGGCCCGTGCAGACGCTGGATTAAAAGGAAAATGCTTTCTTAATGAGATCAAGCGCGGCCTGTTCTCCCGCGCGGGGTGGCGCCCTAAAACCCGGGCCCAAGGCTATGGAGATTGAAGTCACCTTTGTTCACGAGAGCCAGGCCGCCCCGGGGAGGAGCGCTAGGCAGGGTGGGGCTGTTGGGGGGAGGGTACCAGGCCTCCCGTCTCCCCACATCAGAGCAGCCGCAGAGAGGACGGGCCGCAGGCCTCACCCGCCACTCAGAGCTCGTTTCCCGCTCAGCACGACGGGCGTAACCAGAACTCACGTGTGCCGTGCGCAAGGCTGCTGCCCGAGCGTACCCGCAGGGAGACTGAGGCCAGAGAGGGGCAGCCTCCAGCCTTGGTCCTGCCCAGGGGCAGGGGGCCGCTAACCCAGCCTGCCTTGTCTCCAGGGACCCAGACACCCCGGGCCCCTCCCCACTTTCCTGACAAGGGGCAGAAGGAGGAAGAGCAGGGCGGCAGGGCTGGCGAGGGTGGTGGGGGTGGGGGGACACCCACAGGAAGCGGCATTGTTCCTGGAGCTGCGATTCAAAGAAACACAGGATGCCAAGCTCTCCCTCAGCCATTGTGGCCGCTGCCACCGCAGGCTGGCCCACTCCTGGGAGGGCGGGGGAGGACCGTGGGGGCCAAAGGCCCGGCCCCTCGCCCTGGACATCAGGGCCCAGCCCAGCGTGGCCCCTGCTGCCCAGGCCCCCGCCGTCTCTACAATCACTGGAAGTGGCTCGAACATCCCCTTAGCACAGGCTCATGATGCCCCACAGGCCCTCTCTGGACATGTTCTGCTCTCAGTCCCGCTCAGAGGGCACCTCCTCCAGGAAGTCCCCCGCCCCCCAGGCTCACTCAGCCTCTCCGGGTTTCCCCACCGCAGCCCTGACTTCCTCGATTCTCCTCCCTCGGGAGGGTCTGAATCACCCTGTGCAGGCCAGGAGGCGGACCCTCCGCCGCGGGGGCTCTTGTTTGCATGGACAGAGAAGCTGACGCCAGGGGCAGACCTGGCCTGGCCTGGCTGGGGTCAGGGGTCCGGATGGTCCGGATGGAAGCCCAGGTAGCTCTGCATCTGGGTCGGGGTGAGGGCCTCAGGGCACCTCCCCATTCAGAGATGAGGAGCTGGAGGATCAGAGAGGCCCCAGGTCTTGCCCGAGGTCACCCAGCTTGTCTGGGGCTGGTACCTGCGACCCATGGCCACATCCCTCCTGGTGGAGAAAGCCCCCGAAGTTCAACTGAAGTGCTCAGGGCGGGGACAGCCCAGCGGGGGCTGGATGCTGCCAAAGGTCACACAGCAGGGCCGCAGAGTGGGGGGGAGGGGCTTGGCTCAGGGATGGAGCCCCAGCAGGACCGTCAGTCAGGGACGGGGACTGGGGGGGGCGGGGAAGAGCCCCTCATCGCCAGGCAACCTGAGTGGCCAGTGCCGGCGCGGTTCCCATGGAGCGCATAGCTGCACACAAGAGGCCGGAGGCCTTTCTCGGCTGGAGAAAGGGGCTTTGTTACCTTGCCCAAGAGGCCGGCGTGAGAGCCGCCCCGCGCTGGGAATCCTAACAGCCAAACAAAACCCGCGCCCCTCCCGCCAGCCCGCTGAGCCCCTGGGAAAGGCACGCTGCCTTCCCAGGGGGCTGCCGTGGGGTTCCCAGGCCCCCTCCCCACACCGGAACCAGACAGGACCCTGCCCCGGACGGGACTCAGGGAGGCCAGCAGGCCCGGCGGCCGGAGGGTTTAAACAGGCAGGAAGGGGCGTGGCATCTTCCCTGAGCCCCCACTCCAGCCCAGGCTCCCTCCCCCTCACCCCAAAAGCCCAGCTAGTCCCCTGAACCTCCGAGCCACCCCTCCGCGGGTCGGGCCGCGCTCTGTTCCTGCACTCCGTCCAGGTCCTGCCCCCGCCAGCCAACTCCTGAGCCTCAGGGGAGGTTTTCAAAGTGGGGTGTGTCTACTAAGCATGTGTAGGAAGCCGCCGATACTCCAGGAGGGTGTAGGAGCACAGCCTCCAGGCTCCCCGCTCCTGTACTGCATGCGGAGAGGGTCTCGGCACACCCCCCCAAAGCCCAGGGCTCTTTCTGTAGAGATGTACTTCCCAGGGCTCACCCACCCCCACCCCAGCTCGAGCATCTTCAGGAATGGCTGTTCCCCACCCCCTCTCCCGCAAAGACTCGGGCTGGGGAGGGGTCTGCCCTGCACCCAGGGATCCTGCCCCCCACCCCTCTAAGGGAAAAGCCTTCCTTCCCAGGGGAGCTTATGAGCCCGGGGTGGATGCCCCCGGCAGTGCCTGCCTTGGGGCGGTCTGGGGACTGTACCGCCCCCTTAGAGCACTCCGATGCCTGCAAAGCATCCGAGGGCACCAACCCCAAGCATTGGAAGCAGGTGCAAGGTCAGCGCACGCCATCCAGGGCTCTGGAAGCTTGAGGGGACAGGTCCCTTCCCACACTTCCACAGCTGTCCGCGGAGAGTGGCCATGCCAGGCACACCGGGCTGGAAGGGGACGGACGGGCATCGCTGCCCGCGCCCATTCCCAGTGGCTGAACAGAGATGCCGCCCGGCGCCTCGGGAACACTGCCGCTGCCTGGGCGAGACAGGGGCCCCTCACCCCGCCCTCCCGCCTGCCCAGGCCAAGGGGGCTCACCATCTCCTTGTGGCGCGAGATCCAGGTCTCCAGCAGCAGGTCGAGGCGCGCGCGGTGGAACTTTTTGGTGGTCTTCACCGCGATGAAGACGTCGCGGGGCTCGAGCGGCTCCGCCTGGGGCCGCGGGCGGCCGTCGGCGGGACGGGAGGCGCCCCCGGGCGGTGGGCCGGCGTCTCGGCGCGCGCGGGTGAGCAAGCTGAAGTACTCAGACAGACTGTGCACCTCGCGGGAGAGCGCTCCGGGCGCCGCCGCCGCCTCCAGCCCCGGCACCGGGGCCGCCCCCACGGGGCCCGCCAGGCTGCGCAGCGCGCGCCGGCCGCGCTCGGCGGGCACCGGGGGCGGCGGCGGGTCGGCCGTGAGCACCAGCAGGCAGGCGAGCAGCGCGCCCGCCAGAGCCAGCAGCAGCCGTCGGCCGCAGCGCTTGAGCATCGTGGGGTGCGCGCTGCCCGGTGCGCCCAGCCCGGTGCGCGCTGCCCCACACAGCCGTGCGGACGGCCGCGGGTCCAGCAGCGCGTCCAGCAGCGCTCCGCCAGCGCCCTGTCCTCTTAAACCTCTCGGCCCTGGCTCCACCCCTCGGGGGCGGGGCGCTCCTCGAGGCTCCACCCCCGCCACGCGCTCACTGCCTTTTGGGGCGGAGCCTCGCTCAGTGTGCCCCCCAGACCCCGCAGCGCCCACGTGGGGCCGCGGCGGGGGTCTGGGAACCCACCGGAGGTTGCCGCAGGCCCCGCCCCCTGGGCTCTCGAACACCCCCACCGCTCCCCGGCGGGCCGCCGAGGGAAGTGGGGCTTTGAGCCCGCCGGTCCCAGTGGCCTTAAGGGGGAACCCCGGGTGGCCCGCGCTGGCGGGGGCTGCGCCCTGGCGCCCAGCACGCGGAGGGGTGAGCCCTCCGCGCCGTGACCCGGACTCCGGGACAGGGCAGCGGGCTCCAGCGTCCTGTAAGGGACGTCCTCATGAAACCGGAAAGTCGGCGTTCCTGCCGCCTTTCACTACCCAGCCAATAAGTAAGGACGAGGATTGAAGCTTTGGGCGCTTTCTTCCGACGCGGGCGGGCTCTCTACCCTGAAACCCGTCCTAACCTCTCATCTCAAGCCGACCTTTTTACAAGAAAAAGAAAGGGTAGGGAAGGGTTTTGGGGAAAAGGTCAGTCGGGCAAGAGTTGCGTCCAGCTGTGATATTCCTAGTGTTTCTTTATCGGCTGATCAACAGCCCTGCGTCAGGGACGTCCCAGAAAGGTCGCGCTGCCGGCGACCTCCTGGAGTCAGTAGGTCATGTATTCCAGTTCCTGGAACAGCAGCTCCCCCCCCCGCCCCCCCCCCCCCCGCGCCCGTCTCACCCCAGCCTGTCAACTGTAACTAAGGCCGAAGTCTTCAGCTCTTGAGTTCCCCTCTCACTTCCTCGCTCTGCACTTCCTCTCCCCAAGCCTGGCTTCCTCCCCACCGGCCTGGAGGCCCAGGAACTGGGGTGGACCTGAGGGCTAGGGTCTTTAATGTCCTGGAGGGCCCTGGTCACCTGAGCCACAGGTGGGGAGGGACACGAGGACCCAGTTCGGAAGCACCTGTACCAGATTCCACCCTCAGCCCCCGCTGATTTCCAAGAGTTCTGGCCGGGTCGGGGGAGGGGGGGATCGGTCCCCCCAAATCCTTCAGGCTCCCCGCGGTGAAGAAGCTCAGGTCGCCCCTTGCAGCACAGGATAAAAGGCGGCCTTCCGTCCCATTTGGTCCCTCTGCGCGCCCGCCAGATGTGGCCCAGCTGGGCCCCAGCCCCGCCTCCCCGGCACACGGCGGCTGCCACCCCCGGCCCTTCTCACGGGCCTGCCCGGCCCACCCGCACGAGCAGGGGCGGCAGGAATGTGCGCCTGCCGTCTGCGTCGGGGTGAGGGGTGAGGGCCCGGAAGCGGCCACGGGCCCCCCAGCGTGGGATGGGGTCGGAGGCCCCTGCCCGCAGCGGCATCCGGAAGCCCGGCTGGGGGCGGCTCTCCGCTTGGCTGCACCTCCTTCCCCTCCCGCCTGGGCCGTGACCCCCGGGTTACACCGGGTCCCCCTCAGTGTGCGCTCTGCCCACTGGCCCCTTTTCTCCCCAGCGCTGACCCCCGGGCTTATCCCTGGGCCTGCGCCTGCGGTGGCATTTTTAGCCCCTTCCATCCCCCCGCCTGAAGGTCAACGGCCAAGAGAACTGGCCTGCAGCATAGTAGGCGCTTTGCAAACATGTATTTATCCGTGTATTTACTTAGTGAAGATTCGTATTGAGAGAATGGTCCGAGCAGACTGCTGCGGGGCCTGTGGCCGTTTGCTCCGAGGGCCTCAGCCCCTCGGCCATGGGTGGGCTGGGCGATGGAGGTTCCCAGGCCCTTCCTGCCGCCAAGGCCCCCAGGTAATTAGCAGGCGCCACCTCAGTCAGGCAGATGCCTGAGCAGATGGTGCTGGCTGTGCCCAAGTGACAAGTCTCCCGCGGTGTCACCTCCTGCCATAAACCCCTCCCCCATCAGCCAGAGCCCAGCCTGGGAGCCTCCAGGCAGCAGGAGAGGTGGGGTGGGCAGGGGAGAAAATGACCAAGGGCTGAGTGGGTCACCCCCAAACGTCCTGCTGAGCTCCAGCCCCGCCCCGTTCTCCAGCGAAGGGTCTCTGTCCTAACCCCACCAGCGGCTCCCCTCCCTTCCAAATCGGGCTGTTGTGACACAGAGCCTGCTCCGCCGCCTTCCCTCCCAGGCCCCTCGGGCAGCCCCGAGACCCCCATCTCCTTGTCCCCAACCCACCGGGCCATTTACCTTCCACTCAGAAGCACCCAGCCCAGCCCTGGCTGGTGTGGCCCAGTGCACTGAGCACAGGCCTGCGGCCCAGAAGGTCACGGTTCGATTCCCAGTCAGGGCACCCGCCTCGGTGGTGGACCAGGTCCCCAGACATTTCTCTCCCCCTCTTTCTCCTTCCTTCCCCCCTCATCCCCCTTCCCCCTCTGTGTAAATAAATAAGTAAATTTTTAAAAAAGAACCCCACACACAAATCAAAATGCCCCCGGGCCCCGCTTGCCCCAGCCCCAGTCCTGGCCCTCTGTCCATGCACCTTGCCCCTCGGTCCAGCCCTATCTCTTGCCGTCCGTCCTGCCTCCTTCTCCTCCTGTCCCTGCTCCTGAGACGGAGGTTGGCAGCAGCCGTAGTGAGTGGCGCTGCCTGAGCACCCCGCAGGAGGCGGAGGCCGCAGCACACAGCACACAGCCCTCTTGGCAAGGGCCCGGGAGCCAGCCCTCTGCAGCCCCCACCCGGGGCTGGGTTTCCTGCACCCCGCAGCACCCCTGCTTTCTGGGACCCACACCCCCAGCTTGCGCTCCACAGCTCCGGACACCGCGGGCTGTTGGGGGAATGTGCCCGTGGCAGACAGGGCCAGGTGCTGCCCGGGGAAGGACCCGTGAGCGAGGGCCGGGCGCTGCACAGGGGGATCGCCCAGCCTGGGGGCGCCCGCCTGCCGCTTGAGGAGGGGGCGGGGCTGGGCGGGCAGGGTGGGAGTGGGGACCTGGTGCGGCTGCCTGTCTGGGAACAGCAGGACGAAGCCTGGCAGCATTCTTGTGGGGGCCGTGGGCTCGGGCAAGAGTGATTCAATTTCTTTGCTGTCAGGAGAATGGAATTTCGTGGTGACTCCTCGAGGTCTGAAAACTGTAGGGGGGTGGCCGGCCTAGCCACCCCCTCCGGCACCAGGCTCAGCTCCGGCCTGAGCCTCCCTGTCCTGCCTCCCCCTGGGCCCAAAGGCTCCCCCCAGGAACGCACTGGGAACGGAGCTGGGCTCAGAGCAGGAAACGGGGACCTGGGAGGGTCAGTCCTGTTGCCAGGAAGCCCTTTAGGCGTTAGGGTCCTCGGGAGGGGGGCTGGGCCCGGGCGCTGTCCCGGGGCCGTGCCCAGGCCTGGGGGCCTCTGGAGCCAGCCCTCTAGCCCTCCAGTTCCAGGCGGGCTTCTCAGCTCCACGACCTTGGACCTGGCACGGTCGTCCTTGGAGCCTCCGTTTCTCCACCAACCCACAGCCCGTTTCATGGGGTGCTCCCGGGCAGGAGGTCAGGCAAGGCGGGGGCCAGGGACATGGGCCCGTACACCTCCTGGGCTCAGCCGGCCCCCCACCACCTCAGCGTGGGGCTCCTGGCCACCAGGCAGGGCAGCCGAGCGGCCTGAGGCCCGCCCACTGAGGCAGGGCAGAGCGGCCACTGAGGCAGGGACGCACACGGGCAGTGAGGCCCAGGGGCCCCTGCTCCGCCTCCTGGTCGGGCTCAGGGGCGTTGTTGTGACCCCGCCTGAGCTCAGGCCACTTTCCCGGCCGGGCCCAGTCAGTCCCACAGGTTCTGGAAGCCCCTTATCCACGGCTCCATGGGCCTGTCCGCCTCTGGGCTGCCTCTCCCCTGGGAAGGCCGGGGAGACATAATGGGTGACCCATTAACTTGCAGGGAGTCACCGGGGACTGTCCTGCTCAGCACCCTGAGGAAGTCTGTTAGCCTGCTGCCACCTGCAGCTAACCAGGGAGGGGAGGCACAGTCCCCAATGCCACTGCGCAGAGGGGACCTCGCGGTGCCCCATCCCGCCGACCCGCCCGAGAATCCCTGCCCTCAGGGCTGCCGTGAGGGCTGCCGTGGCTGCCTGGGAGCCCCCGATGCTGCCAAGGGCCCCAGCGCGGGGCGGGAGGTGACGGAGGGGCTGACTCAGAAGCTCCGCAGCAGGAGGGAGGCCTGCGGACGGCAGCAGCTGCTCCCCACTCCTCGGCTGGGGGCACGCCGCCCCGCACCAAGGCTGCGAACTGAGCCCCCGCCCCCGGCGCTGCCCAGGGCCCCCTCCCCGGGCCGCTCCGTGTGGTCTCTGGCCGGCTCCCCTCCCCGCTATGGGTCTCAGGACCTGCTGGGCTCTGCGGCAGGGACGTGGCTGGCGCCTGCCCCGCCGGCGCTGCCCACCCCGGGCTGGCTGGAGGCGGGCGCTCTCTGCAGGCCGCAAGCGCCGGTGAGCCCCGGAGGCCTGGCCTCTTTCCTGAACCCTGGGGCCTGGTGTGGTCCGAGTGGCCAGGCCGACAGCCTAGGCGACGGAGTGAGGCTTTGGGAGACGCCCATCACGGGCAGCCAAGAACTGCCTCTCTCAGGAAGTCCTCCCCATCCTGGCACCGGCCACATTTTCAACAGCCCGTTGTTTCCCTGCCTGCCCCCCCCATAGCACAAAGTAGGTGCTCAACACACACTGGTTGCACGGATGCTGAGGGGATGGATGGATGGATGGGCGGACAGAGCAGGTGGATGGAGAGATGGATGGATGGATGGACATGGATTATATGGACGCACAGAGGCTCAAAGGAGAGGCCCCCTGCCTCCCTCTCCCGCGGACCCCAGCCCCGGGGAGCGTGGGACGCAGGTCGGGAGGCCTGGCAGGGCCCTGTGAGCCCTGAGCGGGCACTGGGGCGGGGCCCGAGGGCCGG